CATTGCTCTAATCAAATCGTATTCATTGATGATAAAGAATTCATCCCGAACATCTAACTCTTTAACAATTGTCTTATACCTTATTTGTAACAAAGAATAGAGGAGTCATGATATCTTTCCGTATAACGATAATAGCGAGGTTTCGTGGGTCTATTTGCAACATTTTTTTTTTTTTTTGCTAGACTTCAAGTACATATAGAGAGGAAGAAAAGCATGTGTTTTGGCTAATTTTGAAGCATGAGAGGGTGATTGGAGAGACTGTCATTTTATATGTTCTATCATGTTCACAATAAAGAAATGTAAGAGAAGGAAATTAAGAGATAAATTGTGCAAAGCTCAATGGTGTTGTTTTTGCCTTACCTATTATTATTTTTTTTTATTTGTTTTCAAATGAAACGGCATTGTTTCATCAATCAAAAGTTTAAGTTGGTCCTCATATTTTTTTCATCTTTTCAGTCTTGGTCCTTGATCTTTTTTCTTTCGATTGCACCACTTAATTGATTATACAGTCTCTTTTCTTTGATCCTCAATTTTTTTTCAATTGTCTAAATTATGCCTTTATGTTTATTCTTCCTTTTTCTCTTTCTTTTTATTTCTTTGTCCTTATTCTTTTGAAGTTTTTCAATTGTGTCCTTGCACCCTTTAATTTTTCCTTGTCTCTCCATCTTGAGTCCACTTTATTTTTAGTTTTCTTTTTCTTATCCCGATTTTTTCTGTGGTTTTTTTTTTTCTAGTTCTTTTTTTTTTCAACTACTCTAAAAAAATATGAGAAAAAAAAATATAGTGTGTTTTACATCATGAAAATTTATCAAAATATATGAAAATTATGAAAATTATGTGACATGTAATTTTTTTGAATTTTGTATAAATGATTTTTTGAAACTTTTTGGGAGATAAAAAAAAACATTATGACAATAATGAGCAACTACTGGTGATTTTCATAGACAACATCAATATTTTTTATATTTGTTTTCAATAATCTCAAATCTAATAATATAAATCTGATGTATTTTGGTTTTAATCTACAATTTTTATGTTTTTTTTACTCTTTACAAGGAATTTTTGTGTGTGTGTGTGTGTGTGTTTGTGCCCTTTGTGTGTGTTTGATCTATTGTGAAGATATTCTTTTTTCAGGGATGTTGTTGGTAGATGTCCAGATCTTTTGGTCAAAAAAGCATAGCAAGTGGAAGAGCTATTAGTAGATTGTCGAAGCAATATATGTCTCAGCAATCCCTTCCTCTCGTGGTATGGTTTCAATAGGAAAAAACTTGTTTTTCTCCGGATGAAACATTGAATTTCAATTTTTCTTGGTAAAATTTCTTTTGTATGCTTTTTGACATCCTTAGATAACATTAAAGTCCCTTTTGTTCTCTATTCGTAGGAAATATTAGATTGATTTTAGTGATCATAAGCCTTTTTTATCAATATTTAACTAAAAATTTGAATTGTAGCTTTTTATTTTTCTTAACTTTTACTAAAAACTCATATTTTTCAATTTATTACATATTATTATATTTATGAAAAATAAAATTTTTTCTCTTAAAAATAGGTAAATTTATATGGTAGATTACATGAAAAACTATTTAATAAGAGAGAAAATTTTAATTTACATTTACAAACTCTAGTTTTATTAAGTATTTTTAAGGGACCAGTCTAATAATTTTAAATATTTGAGAATGTATTTGAGATATTTCTAAACCTCCAAGGACCGAAATGAACTAAGATGCCGGATGGCCATCTCCGGCGTAAGGTAGCTCCGCCTCTCTACCTTTTTTTTTTTAATTTTTCCTGGTTTTGAAACTTTAGCCTAAGCATGTAAAGCCATTTCTTAAAATTAATAATTTGATTCCAGAAGAGCATAGAAGTTATTCAAAAGAAGAAAAAAAGTAGAACCTAATTTGTTTTAAAAGAAATATCAAATATATGATAAATTGTTAATAGATGGATCGGTAGCTTCTTTATCTTTCTTCAATCCAGCTCCTAATAAAGATTTTCCATTCTTCCTATCAAGAAGTGGTCACAATTACATATGACAATGTGAAATCATTTGCCGTGGTCGGTGAGGAGCAGTGGGAACTCATTTGTTACAGAAAAAAAATTACAATTAATTAGAGATGAGATTCAAGCTAGTTGATCAATTTTGAGTAGTCCAAAATTATATGATTTTACAAATAATATTAGTACGTATCTAGTAGTTGAAATGCTCATATTCAAATACCTCACCCAATTTATACTTACCTATAATGCGGATTAATAAAATTCCATCACTATTTCGTTTTATAAATTGGCCCAAAGAATAAATTATTATAATCTTTTTTAGAATCAAAACGCGTGGAAGAAGAGAACGCGTGGAATAATTTTCTAAAATGGAAAATCAATACACCACTTACCTTGTATAATTTTGCCCTTTTCAGTTATGTTTTCCATCTATGGTAGTATATTTTTTAAAGGCTCAGAAGGGGAAAATAAAATAAAATTTGGACGTAACTTTCTTTATCTGCCTTATATATTATAAATAAATAAGTCTTATTGGACCAAAAAATCACGAATTTTACATTGTGTAATCATATTAGCATGTTTTTTTTTTTTAATTTTAAATAGAAAATACATGAACTAAATTTTTAGTAACTATATTAGCACGTATGATTTTTTTCGACTTAAATTCCGTTTTCGAGTGGCATGGCGTGTGAGATAAAATGATGGCATAATATAAATGACATGTAAGATTTCATGCTAGCCAAACGGACCCTAACCTCGCAAGCATAATATAAATGACACGTAGGATTTCATGCTAGCCAAACGGACACTAACCCGCATCCTAAACTCATATAACCCTCAACACACGACTCGGGGAACCCGCAACTAGGACCTATGTTGTACTCCATGTTTTGGCCAAATTGAAGGCCGAACCACATAATGATTCTCTAGACCTCCATTGACCTTTCCCAACCAGTCGAGTGGAGGAAAATGTCGGAGTACACTCGAAAAAAGGGGTTGACAACTCGTAAAACCTAAGAGTATAGATATTTGATTTTGTGATTTTTAGCTAAATCGAAGCTTGAAATGGATAGAATCAAGTTCTTTTGAGTCATAAGGATCAACTCGGGATGGATTTTGAGCTTTGAAAGTCGTTAAATTTGACCAAAATTGATCGAAAAAGAAAAAGAATAGAATGATTGATGAGTCGTGGGTCGTTTTCCTCCTTCTCTTGTAGTTTTCCATCACTTTCACGAGGGAGAAGAACTATTGGGATAGCGATACATTTTTGTCCCAAGATTTCAACCTTTGATTTGGTGGAAAAGCGATCGATTTGGGAGAAGGACCTACTCGTCGAGTTTTGCCGGGTTTGGGATGTAGGTTAGGGTTTGTTTTACCGGCATGGAATTCTACGTGATATTTATGCCATGTTATCATTCTATCTCTCATGCCACGTCAATTGAAAATGAAATTTAAGCTAGAAAAATTCACACATACTAATATGATTATGAGAAGTTTAGTTCATATTTTTTCTATCCAATATTAAAAAATATACTAATATAATTTAAAAAATGTAAAATTAGTGATTTTTTAATATAATAAGCCAATAAATAAATTCTTATTGATATCAATTCGAAATTCAAATTTACGAGAAAATTAAAAAATAAAACAAACCTCATTACCATCCAACATAATCTCTTGTTTAATAAAACTAAATTATAATAGCGTTTACTTCGCTCGGCTTAGCCTCAAACATTCACACACCACGCCTTTTTGTTATAGTTGTAACTGAATTAACCGAAGTACTCAAGTGAATTAGTAAACCGTTTACTAGGTGGGACAAAGCACTCTTTTTGTGACCAATTATATTAAAATATTAATTTATTACCTTGATGATTAAATCACAAACGTATAACTCCTGGTTAAAGCTTATGCGGAAGTGGATAATAATATTTTTGAAAGTCCCTAGTCTAGTTTAGTCCACATATCAAATGGTGATATGATGTTTGCTGCTATAATAATAAGATAATACCATTAAAATGCTTGGGTTGCCCTCGGCTGCTTTTAGTCCCCGGCAAACCTCTTTTTCTTTTTTTTTAAATATAGATAAGATCTTTCTTTTCTTATACAATTAGCGTTTGATGTTTTCAAATGTGATTTGCAGGTATGATTTCTTTTTAATTTGAATTTTATGAAGATCTGGAAGATTAAGTCATTTGAATAAAAATTTTAAGATTTTTTATTGCTTTTTAAAAGAGATTAATATCTATTGACAATGATCGAATACTCAAATCTTTCATTAATTGAGTCTACCAGTATAGCATGTTCTTTTGTTGATCTATAGTAGCAAGAGATTTATTTACCTAGGTGATTAAAAAAAAGTTATGTTTAAAAAAAATTTGTTTTGAAAAGTTCAAAAAAAAAACTTATTTTTGATCCATAAGAAGACTCGGAATAATGATTTACCAAAAGTGTGAAGATTTTTTTCTTGTAACATATATTAAAAGAATAATTTATTTATATTAATTTAATAGTAATAAAATTATTGTTTTTTTTTTTTTTAGTATTTGTTTTTATAAAAGGAGAGGTAAATTAACCTCTAGTTTATGTATATATCAAATTGGTGTGATTGTTGACTGCTTCCTGCTTACATATATACTATCTTAAGAAACAAGAAAGAGAAGGAGTAACAAAATAAGAAAAAAGAAATGTTGAATAATAAAAAAGACGAAGTCATAAAAAGTCAAGAGGTTCTTCTCTAATTAAAAGGCTCTAGCTAGCTACCGTCAGCTGCTGGACCAACTTTATAAATCCTTCTCCGTATAAGCTAGCCCACTGTTTTTGCCTGGCTAATACTTTGCATTTGCGTGTCTGAATTTTCCTCCTTCTCTCCCTCCTTCCTCTCTCTCTCTCTTTCCCTCTCTCCTTTTGTGAGTGTGACAGTCTATTTTATTGGCTTGAAGGTAATTAGTAGCTTATCGTTGTTGGATAATTAAGATCAGTGAATTGGAAGCAAAAAAAAAATGGGGAGAGCACCATGTTGTGACAAAGCAAACGTGAAAAGAGGACCATGGTCTCCTGAGGAAGATGCCACTCTCAAAAGCTACCTGGAGACTCATGGCACTGGTGGTAACTGGATTGCTTTACCTCCAAAAGCTGGTAATCTATCCCTTTCTCTCTCTCTCTCTCTCTCAAACACACACACACACACACACTCACACACATGTTGGTTTTCCCTGACAACAATTTCCTCGAGAAATTTTTTTCATTTAGAATTTTACCTTAACTACTAAAATATCAGCCTCATCAAATATATTGAGAGGTCTTGAGGGATTATGTTCATTTAATTTCCACAAACATTTTCATCTAGACTATTGCAAATGCATCAAAGGTCCCCCCTCCTTTCCAGCTTATCAAATTAAAAGTCTTGTTTTTCATTTTGACTATCGATAATTAATGCTGTGTTCTTTTTTTCTTTTTTTCCTGTTTACTCAAACATGTTCAGTACTAACATATCAGAACAAAAATGCTTTTCCAGTACTACAGATTTAATTTCTTGAACCTGTGTACTGTAGCTTTGTAAGAAAAGTAGGCTGTGGTTTGACTCCTTGTTGTAGTACTGATCTTGGCCATCGGTTCCAGGGTATTATTCATATTTTCGTACATTATTCAAGGTTTTTATATAGAAGCTTTTCCTAGCTAGTTTTGATCAGCCCAATTATTAGGACCATTTCCACAATTTTTTTTTTTTAATAGTTAATTGGTGGTTAGCAATGTATAATTTTTTTTTTTTTAGATTACGTATAATTGCATTAATTTTACAATCTTGAATGATTCTCTTTGCATATCTAATTTGATTTCCACACAAGGTAATGTACCAATTGTCTATGATATTTTTTCCATAACATTTATTGCTTCTAGTCTAGCCATTTAATTAAGGAGTTGAACCCTTCAATCTCCTACCTATTGAAGGAGCTAAACCTTAATGTATAATTCTTATCGGTCACAGGCCTTAAGCGATGCGGCAAGAGTTGCAGGTTACGTTGGCTTAATTATCTCAGGCCAGACATCAAACATGGAGGTTTTACTGAAGAAGAAGACAACATCATATGCACTCTTTATAGTCAAATGGGAAGCAGGCAAGTTTTAGGCTACTTTGTTTTTTTATTTTTGGTTGAAGCTTTATTCGATTCTACATAATTATTGTATGTTTCTTGTCTATATATATATATATATATATATTCAATGCTTCATTTGGTACTTTTTTACTGTATGGAATTTGTTTATATTTGACATGCAACCATTTGATTCTTAATTAAATATTGCTCCAACTTGTTGTCTTGTTTAGATGGTCTCTCATAGCTTCTCAACTACCTGGAAGAACTGACAATGATGTGAAAAACTATTGGAACACAAAATTGAAAAAGAAGATCGGTGCAGGAAAAATCAGCCTCACAATCAAGAACAACTCTATCAATGCCCCTACTGACATTACCAATATTCCTACTACTCCTTGCTCAACATCTCCTATTCTTTATGTCCCTATAGCCGAAACCGAAAGCACTGTCACCTTCTCTGATCATTATTCATTAACTCAAAATTCTGTCACGTTGCCTACCTTATCTGATGTTGATTATGGCCCTATTATCAATAGTACTACTCAGAACTTGAGTCCAAACCAATTCCAATTTTCTAATTTCCCTGGGGTCATGGATATGTCTGAATTTGGTGCAACTTCAATGAACAGTCACATCGTTTCGTCATCTCAAGAAGGTTCGAGCATTTCAGATTCCTCTTCACTTGCTGTGGATAACAAGGGTCTCTCAATGCCTAGCAATGGTGGTCTTGAGAATGCTGGGATATTAATGATGGATTCTGAATTTGGTTTTCCTAGTGATTTTGTCAATGGCCTTTTGTTTCAAGACAAAGCTAGTACTGATGATCAAGTGGCTGCAAATTGCTACCAATATTTTGCTGATTTTGGCTGTGTTGATATTAAGCCACAAGGACTGAACCAAGGTGTTACTAACCAATATTGACAAAGGCCCAGAAATGGAAAGAGACACAAGTATAGCTTTGGCCGGGGGTTTCATTATCACATGTATGATTAATTTGAACCCAGGTGTCTGGGATAATTTTTATTACTTCTAAGTAACTGATGAGGCCTAGTTATTAGGTGTTAGGCATGGCAAAGTATTTGTTCTCTGAATTTGGACCTTATAATTTGTTTCCGTAGCCAGATCGGAACATCAATGTAATGCAACAACAATTAATATAAGTGAACTAAGTCTTTATTGCTATTTTTTAACTCCCTTTCTCTAACAATTAAGGTACCTTTTGAATTGTCAGCTTTGGGGGTTTTCAAATTTTGGTTTTACTATCTCAAGGGGAGGGTGCACATGAATATGAGTGATGGCATCAGCATGTATGCCTGTTTCTGGCTGGCCAGTCAGTGGTCACGAAGGTTGCATGGGGTTCTGGCCTATTCAAAGCTCAATATATTGAAGACGTCTCCTTCAAACACTAACAACAAAAGATTCTCTCACTCACACGCATATGAGCTCCATGCTTGTAAACTTCCTCTTGATTGTCATTACAGTGCATCATCATCTTCCATGGGATGTCCAGTACGATTTGCCTCTTTCAAAGATGTGACTTTTTCAAGCATGTGATTAGTGCTTACGTAATTTATTTCGTCTTGCCATTACTAATGAGTACTTGTTAATATGCTACTTGCTTTTACAAAGCAAGAGAGATTGAACAATTCTCGGGCCAGAATTATCAATTTTATCCTTCTACCCTAAAAATAATTAAAAATAAATAAATAAATCAAGAGAAGCCATTCAATGTATGCATAACCCTTTTAATGTAAGCACAACCGCGCAGGAAAAAAGTCCTATCTAATTTGCACTTTAAATTGATTAAATGGCTTGATATTCCAGCCATAATCGAGAACTGGACATATACACTGGATCTGCATTTTCCTCTTATGAATTTTCTCATCAAAAATTTGACTGACAAGTGTCTAAGTAATGGAACTTTTTTTCCTTGCCAAATAAAATGCCAACTTGAGTCAAGAACACGTTTTAACATGTAAACACAAGCTCGTTATTTAATTACCCTGATGCCCTCTACTACGAATTAACTTCCAGTTTTTACTATGGTTAAAAGTAAGAACTACAGCAATCAGTCAAAGCAATTACTCCCCAGCAGAATTCAATATATACCATTAGTGGCGGGCAGTAGGCTCGCGGTCAGGGGCGGCCAAATATAGCCTATGATAGCTCTCTTGACTAATGTTATCTCACACCGCCTTGATAAGAAATTCACAAGAATTCAAAGCATGGACAGAAGTTTTTAAGGTTTCCTATTTTGAGGGGTCCCTCAAAACTGGCCAGACCTTTTGTTACCTCCAATGTTTGCACATTAGACTTTAAGAGATTGAATCATTATTTCCTTTATCGAGTTCTTGGTGGCTTTATGTGTAGCTGAATATTCGTTCTCCTGCTTAATTATATTTAAAAACAAAACCATATATATATATAAGAACGCTGTCAAGTAAATTATCATTTAATAGGTGTCTCCAGTTTCATTAATACAAAGGTGGCCAGCCTTAAATTAGACTGTCAATTTATTGTTACTTTTTATGTTCTATTAAATTTTTACCAGAAACTTTTCATAAATATCATCTTAATTATCTTTATGTTTTTTCTCAAAAAAAAAAATCTTTTGTAATGACTAGTCTATGGTTTTTGTTGAAGCACTTAGAAGGATTATTGGGATCAAATCAAGGCCGGTAGCATTTATTAATTTGAGGTTGGGGCATCCATTTAGAGATATACACTCCTCAATTATAACGAGATTAAGGATCCAATAGATTGTTAATTTTCTCTCAGAGAACAAACACATGTCAATGGTGTTGATCCTACAATTCACGAGGGGTGGAAGATCATTTTCCATCCCATTGGCATTGCAGAGAACAAAGAAGCCATGCACATACTAATTTTAAGTTTTAACACATAATTCCATTAAATTTGTGGGTCATAAAATGGAAAAGAAAATTAAGGTAGATCAATTGAACATTCCTAGCTAGTTTGTTTGATCATACAAAGTAATGACCCAAGTAGGATATTTCATCGTTTCTTTTTCCTCAGCTCAAAGTAATATTCTGGTGGAGGTAGGGTCTTGATGGGGCACTCCAGGCCTTTTTCCCTATTTCCCGCATGCATGCCGGATAACTAGAGTATCTGACATCTTACATTTGGAAAATCTGTGTTTTTACAGTATTAGAATATTTAATCTAGCCGTCGTTTATTCCACTACAGCAATATCTACATTTGTTATACGTAGCAAAGGATGAAATGAACGTCACTATAAACCTACACAAACGTTTGTGGTAAACTGTCCAACCAATTGTCACTAGCACTTGCAACCATATTTACGACGAATGTTTGTACCATATTTATTGACATTTAGAAAATTGTTGCAGCATAATGCTTTTTCTACGTTTTTAAATGTTGTTAAAAGGCCTTCCAATGTCATTTATGGGCTTATAGGGGCTAGAGCTATAAATAAATTAGGTTTGTACTCAAATTCGACTTGAATATGATGTAATTAAATCAGCTTGCTAAATAAATTTTTAAATCGAATCTGATCATTATGATACGGATCTATTAATTTGTTTATTTAATGGATCAAATCCGGATTTACCTTATTCAATCTAATAATAACTCGATTGAAAATTAAAAATAATATTTTATAATAAATATAATATTTTTTAAAAAATTAAATATAAAAGAAATATAAAAGTACAAAACTAGTTTTAAATTTAGAGTTTATTTAATATAAAATTCAAATAACACATATCATTCTAAAGTGATAACTGTATTTAAAAAAAACACATATAAATTTTTTATTATTTTCTTAGTTCAATTTCATGATGAATTGACTTATATATTTTTTCTAGAATTAGTGTTATTATATTTTTCACCACTCTATTTTTAATAAAAAAGAAAAGAAGAAGAAGAGTAAGAAAGAGGAAAAAAACTAGAAGAAAAACCAATTGATTGGAATTAGCACAAAATTAAAGAGAATAACAAGTGGGGGGTTGATAAAAAAACAAGGCAATTTAGAGAAGATTAGTGCAACTGGAATTCTTTTCCTAAATAAATTCGAAAAAAGAAACTTTCTTATTCAAACATACTCGAATATTTTGGACATAACTTCATGTATAGAGGTCCAATTCATGTGGTTCTTGTGACAAATTAAAGCTAAAAGATAAGGCTATAATTTATATGTTTTAAACTTGGCTCATATCAACTTGTATCATATGAAAAATTCATTGTAAGAGATAAAATTATTGATGATTGTCGTGTATCTTTACTTGCAAAAATTATGGAGACGACAACTACTTTAAGTGATTAGCTTTAAAATTAAAACAGAAAAACCTATGGTATTTCATTTACTTAACATTACATTTCTACTATTTATTAATAGATATTTTCTTTCTTTCTTTTTTTGCAAAAAAAAAAAAAATTATTATTTATTTTTAGTTTTATCGTACTTTCTACCTAGTTTACAATATTTTTTATTAATATTATTTGATTTTGTGCTTTTGAATTGTGTTGCATTTTGAATTTTTTACAAAATCAATAGATAAAACATTATTTTAATATATTTTATTATACATATAGTGATTGAAATATATTTTATATTCAAGCAATATATTAAATAGAGTAAGCATAAATTTTCTACAAAAATCAAGTGATAAATTCGATAGAGCTCCGAATTTGATCCACATCCATTAGGATCCGGATCCAACTCATATGTTCAAAACCTAATTCGAATTTATAAGATTTGATTTGATTTGTTTTATTAAACAAATCGGATTCGAATCTACTATAATCCGATCCGTTGATAGTCCTAAGCTTATGCAACATTTAAAAAACGTCATAATAGGAAAGTTGAGTTTACTAAAAATGACATTTTCAATATATTGGTAATAATATTTATCAAATTTTGTTTTATGTGAGACATATCACTATACAAAAAAATAGCAATTTAGAGATGGAAATCAACAATGGATAACAATCTGTATCTAAATAGTGATGGATTAGCAAATGATTTATTACTACCATTGAGATGTGGATGTTAGCAATGGACCACCTACTATTTTGCAATGGATTGTCAATGAGACGGATGTGGCCATCATTAAATAAGATGGTAAAATATTCGTAGTTATTTCGAGTAACGAATGAACACTAGAATTGTGAGGACATTCGGTGACGGATCATCCAATCCATCACTATTTTTGGGTTTTCTTTCTTATCCGGTTAGCAAGGGAACATGTCATTGCTAATCCCTAAATGTTGTCGCTAATTAGTGATAGATGATGTAAGTCGTTAACTTTACCGGTAATAGTGATGGATCTTTGCTAATCCCTAAATGTTGTCGATAATCGGCGATGGTGAAATGAAGTTAAAGAAGCACATAGCAAAATAAGTAATCCAAATTACAAGCATTTTTCACTTATACTAAAAGTAGGATTTTTTATTTTTATTTATTTTTATTTTTTTTATTTTTTTTTTGAAATCATTCAATTGGAATAAGCAATCCATTCTAGTTTAATGGGCAATGGCTCAGCGCATATAATTAAAAATAAAAATTCCTACGGATTGAGGCTCGGGGCTCAATTAGAAAAAAAAATTCGATTTTAACCGAATAAACCAAAAACAAAACCGAAATTTTAGTTTTTTAATCAAAATATTAAACTTTAATTCGATTTGGTCTTGGTTTTTGATTTTCATAATTCCATTAACCAAATATCTAACTAAAATTATCTGAAATCAAATCTAATAACCATTTGATCATCCCTTGTATGCGACCATACAAGAAAAGGAGTACATGAATCACTATCCTTCAATGAAGGGTCCTCTACAGTATCATAGCCAAAAAAAAAAATAAAAAAAAAACATTGCATATACCACAAAAAGAACAGTCATGGTACAAAAACTTGATTCGCCTTGAAAAAGAAGATAAC